ACTACGAGCTGAGAAATTGGATGGAAGAGGTCGGGCAGCAATCGAGGCTTGGCGGTATAATGAGTGACCTGGGCTTTGATTTGGAGTGATGAATTGAAGATCGCAGAGGGACGAGGCGGGATTTGCCGTGGGCGTAGGTAGTCAATAAGGAAACTAACGGAGGTTAGCCAAAACAGATGCTGACAACCTGCTTAGCCAACATTTACTGAMAGGAAAAAGCAAATAAACGCAAAAAAAGGTGGATGCTTATTTTAGCCTTTTTTCCCTAAAATTCTTGGAAAGACTGAACTTTGGGGCCGGGCAAGGGGGAATAACACGTCCAGGTTTATTAGAAATCTGTGCTAAAACATAAAACAACTAATATGATCCTGAAGCTCAGTCGGCTTGACTCACAGCTACTTCATTTTTGTTATCCTGATGATGTCATCTTATTTATCAGAATTGTTGCTTTCCAGCAATCTGAATCAGTCCCACTGTTGCACAAAAAAGCTACATTAATTCTTCTTAAAGGAAATGTGAGAGTTCAAAGTCGTGTTCTGGTGATTAGGTAAACTGAAGCTTTAAACCTTCCTGGTCTTAACCAGTCTTTGTAAGTCTGTTTTATCAGAGCTAAGCTTCAGGACTGACTGACACTGAAGWTGTAATGCATGATGAAACTAAAACACCTAACACTGCTTTCAGATTCAGGGATTTGGAGCCGAGTTGTGTCAGCTGAAGGAAAACAAGTTTTTCAGAGCCCCCAAGTGTCATTGTTGACTTCACATTAAGAACAAATGAGTCAAGCTGTAAGTAAGATTTAAAGCACAAATATTGAGAACAGAAGTCGTCATGATTTGATGTGATGCCACGCATCAAGCTAAACATTCACCACACCATTCTAATACAGCTTTGTGCCATTAGAGGAGTTCAAGGAGACATGTCATGCTTTCAAGACTTTCTTTTTCACATTTAAATCATTCAGTTGGGGTCTATATAAAGAGGAACTGCAATGCTTTGGTCTGTATTCCTCCTTATTGTAACTCCACAAGCCCCTCTTTCACCACTTTTCTGAGGTGTGTCTCAGAACAACTCGTTTCGAGGCTGTCTCTTTAAATCCAAAAAAGATGCTTTATACCCCACCCCTTTTCAGCTTCCAGACTGGTCCATTCTAATTTAATAGAGGGGTTTATGACTATATAGCAGCGTAGAAACTTTTTATTTACTAATTAATTAAGAGACGCCAAGGGAAAACTAGAAGGGATGATCGTATTTAGAAAATTGGTTGCAAATAATTTGACTTGGTTCAGAAAACATCATAGAAAACAGAKTAAACTGAACGGGCTGAAAAACATTTCTCAACACCAGGAGAGACTAAATTCAACTTTTCTGGATGCCTAGATAGTCCAAGTACACAACGAAATGTATTTAATGGCTACAAATGTGGATTTTGCGCATGTCCCCTTCCAGATTTAAGTAATAAATGCAGTTTCCTTAAATGCAGTTAGAATTTGCGGCTGTTTTTGGTATTATCCATCTTATCTTGTTCCTTTGAGTTTTTAAATCTCAGAGCTTTTTTTTTTGCCACAACTAATTAATAAGCATTAGTTTTACATTTCATCTGAACCTGTAACTTTCGGACATATTTCTAAATGACATCCCCTGACCACGCTCCCTAAATCATCCGAGCAGGATGGATAACTGGACACACGTTTCATGGAAACCTGAAGCTTAGAGCAGGTGGCCAGACCCAACCTGAAACTCTATTAAAACCACAATTTATGACTCTTCTCAGCCAACAGAATGAGTGGATTGTTGGCAAAGAGGTTTCTTTGTCCTCCACCATTTCATCCATCTGCTTAGCCAGATGTTCGATGTGTGTGCCTCATAAAGTCAGTAACTTGACTCTATGAGGACCAGTTTAAGCCATTTTCACCCGTATGTCCACATGGGTCAACAGAACCTGATGTCTTATCAATATGAATCAGGATTTGACCATGTTTTACTAAACGTATATATTACATTTGTTGGCTCAACAGCGTAACTGTGAGGTTTGGAAGACCCAAAGACATAAAATATCTGATTTATTTTGTGGTTTTCTTGCTTTTTTTTAATTTTTCATCAGCTTCGTTACAAGCCTCTTTCACCAGAGACCGAAGATCAGTACAGTAATATTCTTCAGATTTCATAAAAATGCTCAGAACACCACATAAGGCAGACAATTTAATCTCCTCTCTCTGYCACGTAACATCTGCTGGAATGAGGTCAGGCCAAAGGGTCGCTCACTCACTTAATGAGCACCTAAACGTGTGACAGCTGCCARGAGGTCTGTTTAATATTATAAATCGGAGAACTCTAATAAAAGCTGATAATTCCTCAGCTGATGACCAAACAAAGCTCCTGGACGTGACAGGGGTGAGTAAACACGTGTGCAGTTGTGTAACTGTGCACCTCTGTATGGGTGGGAGAAAGACAGAAAGAAACGCACCTGTGGGCTGAATGCCCCCCTGACATCTGTCACGCTTCACTGTGTATCTGTGTGTGTCTGTGTGCGCGTGTGTGTACACTAAGTGGGTGAAACAACCCTCAGTCACCTTGCAGCCATACGGCCTGATGAGTACACAGTGAAAAGTGCCATCGTCACTTTAATTAGAATGCCAGCGTGCACTCATGTCCAACTGTTACAAGGAGAGGAAGTGTGTGTGTGTGTGTGTGTGTGTGTAGCAGCGTCAGCAGCCTCTTTCTGGCCCAGTCACTGTTTCTGAATACATACAGGATGCCAAGGCAGCAGGTACAGAGACACAGACCAGAGGCCTGACTGTGTGCTTCTCAAGCTATGATTTATAATACATCATCATAATACAACATTATTAGGTGAACATAACTCCTGGGCATTAAGATAAATATTTGTTAAACAGTGACGCTGGTTTTTTGTTTAAGGTATATAAATTTATTCCACTGTCATTAGGCCTGGGAAATATGACAGTATTTTGGTACACAGCGGTATTAAAATATGGTGACAGTTTTTTAAAAACATGATGCATCAGGTGACAGGCAGCTTCAGGACCGACCAACTAACTGCAGACTTCTTGAGTCAAATAACTAGTTTGACTCCTTTCGGATTAAAACTTTCAGAGACTTTTTACCCCAGAGACAAGCAAACTTGTCMCTACAGAGGAGGAAATAGTCTACAAATTTTATTGGCACAGACTGGCTAAAACCATGCAGCGGCGCAGGTACAACCGTTTAAGAGTCTGATTATTTTTAAACTTAAAACCCTGAAAAGACAAAGTACAGGGTATATAAAGAAATGTTCAAGTTAAATACTTTTTTTTAATACCGTCACGATATTTTTAATACCGACACGACTGAGCTGCAACTTTAATGACATCCTTTTGAACTTCATCAGGGGGTAACTAATTATAAAGTAATAGATAAGTGTCATTTTCTTACTTAATATTTGTAATAAGCGCAATACTGGATAAACAGTAATTTCTTTGCCTCAATAAATATACTATATCTAATTATTTGTTATGGGATTTTTAAGAGATAGACTGGAGAAAAACACGTATATTTGGGGAGTTGCCCAAAAAACAAATACCTTGTCGGACGTTGTTTATCAATTTAATATTTTTTAATAGCCTTAATTTTTGCTAATTTCATTTACTACCTAGCACCTTTTACGACCCTGCAGACACCCTGAAGTAGAYTGTATTTTGATCTGTTCAACATAAGTGTCAAAAGTTATTCTGTGACTCTGCTGCGTGACAGAAACATGTCAGCGCAGTGGRGATTTGCTTCCCACGCCTCTTTCTGTCTCTAAAATGTCAAACTATATGCATTTAAATGCTCACAAGCAATGGTTTCTGTTAATTATTCATTACTCAACACGCCACAGATTATTCCACACACCCCTGTAACACCGTATGCCATGGTGTTTACTGAAAGTTATACTGCAGTGTATGTTTCAGAATAAAATACATTTTATAGTAAAAAAAAACACTTAAATCTCCAGTGCTGATAAAAAAAGCAAATGTTGATCATAGAGATGAACAAAAACTTCACCAGTGGCCCCACATAACCCCAATAACATGAAAGATGTCTGG